TAATATTTCTTTCGACCAACGGTCCCGTCCTCTGACTCTCAAAATCTCCCCAACCACGCGGCCTCCTCCTGACAAGCCCAGAGTAAAACCACGTTCCCATGGTGTAAACATCATACGTCGGGAGGCCGGTCACCCTCTGCACAGACTCTCCAAACGGCGGCATCTGCGTGCACTCGAGCACGAACGCCCCGATATCAGGGTGCTCGTCCATCAACTCCTTCGCGGCCGCAATCATCTCCTTCTCGATGTCGTCGAAACTGTACGGCCCCTTGCCGGTGACTAACAGCCTTAGTGAACCACCGTCGGGGGCGCCGGCGATGTGGCACCGCGCGGCGTGCTCTTTCGAGATGCCGAGACGCTCAAAGTGCAGGGAGACCAGCTCGCTCGCGTTGTAGGTGATGATGCCGATCTTCTTGGATGGCGGCAGCCAGGCGAGGATACTGGGGATCTGGATCAAAGAGGATGTGGCTACTGGGATCGGTAGCCTCTCAGCCAGTCTGCGATATTTGTAAGCCTTCATTGCACGTTCGTTCAGGTAAGAGATGGAATATCAACGTACAATGGCTGGGCCATGGCTAAGAAGCCGCAGCTAGTAAGAATCCCCACGGCCCCGCGCTCCGCCAGCTTCTTCCCCGCGGCGACAAAGTTGTCGATGAAGGCATCATCGTATGCTATCTTCGTCACAAGCTGGTCTTCCCTCGATCCCTCCGCCAACTCGCGAATCACGGGGAATGCCCATGTGTTTTCGTTGAAGGCGTCACCGGCCGGACGGTAGAAGAAGCACTGGACGGCGATGAAGCCGATAGGCGGCAAGGAGGCCTGGTCTTCGGGGCGGTAGTCCGTCATTATTTTGTCGATGATCCGGGGCCAAACTAATGCGTAGGACTGAGGAATCACGTGTCCTATCCTGTTCGTTGGATGATTTGTTGGCTTGACGATAAGATCATTCTACCTTTATCGGGCGTCTTTATCAAGCAGGCTGGTTTTATACAGCATCATGATGCTGTGGCTCCTACAAACCAGCGGCCACTCAACCGGAGGAATCCGAGCAACCTCCAAATCAGCTTCGACGCTTTTATCGTGGTGCTGCCAAACCCCGGAAATTGCCATGCTTACCCCCTGTGTTGGGTTGCAGTTTGGAGGAAGTTGATGTTGGGATCGGCTACGTCGGCCGTTGATAAGACCCCACAATCCGGACGGCACCTTATCTCGACCACCTCTCCCGGTAGACGATTCGGATTCTTATATCCGTCACCTACCCTCCTCCCGCCATGGGTTGGATAAGATAGCCCGTCTTCACTATCTGGAGCTGGGCCAATCACGCTCCTGTGTGGTACAATGGCAACGAGGGATTCTCAACAAGCAAGACTCAGGATGCGGGGTTGTATGCCATTCTACCAGGCTCGGTTTGTCCCGGGGAACATGGCTGTTTAGTTCCCCTCACGTGCACAATTTTTGAAGGTCGTCGGGTTCATCCGAGTCTTATCTTGACTTCACGCAATATGGCAGGGTTCTGGACGTTGTGTTAAGAGCGCCGCCCACCAGCGTTGACGGTTCCTGGGATGAACGCTTTGATGGTTCTGGACAGCCTCATTTTTACGGATTTCGCTTCTCCCTAGAGGCTAACACTCAAAGTTGCGATTGGATTTGGTGGAAGAGCACCGCGTAGCCAAAATGGGTCTGAAAGACTCGGCGCTCGCCAAGTACATCCGAAACATCAAAACATCTCCGAAGTCTCTCATTGCGAACAGGCAGCTGATTTGCACTTCGCTGGTGTTTGCTTTCGCGGGCATTCCTCTTTGTGAGTTACCGGAATTTTCTTGCCATGCCTCATGTGCAAACTCATATTCCTTACGAAGCCCCTCACGGGACAAAATAGTGAGGCCTCAAGACCAGGTTATTAACGCAATATCCAGGCTGGGACCAGGGCTCCTCCGCCACGATCCCCTCCCTCCCCGGCTTCCAGCACGCCTTCGGCATCACCTCCGCCACGAACCCGGGCCAGGTCTCCAACTTCGTCTCCCTGGTCTACATCGGGGCCGGCGTCGGCGCGGCTCTCACCTACTTCATCAACGACCGCTGGGGCCGCCTCTGGGCTCTCCGCATCTACTCCATAACATGGATCATTGGCCAGCTCATCGCCGTCGCCTCCTCGGGTAACCTCGCCGCCATGTACGCCGGCCGCATCATTGCCGGATTCGGTATCGGGCCCCTCACTGTAATCGGCCCCGTCACCCTCACCGAGATCGCGCCCGCCGAGACGCGCGGGCTCATCACCTCCTGGTTCTCCGTCATCATGCTGCTCTCGCTTACCGTCGCCGCCTTCGTCGTGCTCGGCTGCTTTGGCATGGCGCCGAGCAACGTGCAGTGGCAGGTCCCCTTCTTCATCCCCTGCGTCGCCATGGCCCTCGTCGTCGCGGCCAGCTTCTTCGTCATGGACAGCCCGCGCTGGCTGTTCCTTGTCGGGCGCGACGAAGAGGCGACGCAGACGCTCGTCATGCTGCGCGGGCTGCCGCTCGAGCACCCGCGCATCCAGTCGGAGCTGCGCGAGATCACGGAGAGCGTCGCCAAGGAGAGGTTGGCGTTTGGCGAGGCAAGCACGTACTCGCTGGCCGGGCTGAGGGCCGTATGCCGCGAGACCTTCTTGGTTCCGGCCAATCTACGGCGGACGCAGCAGGCGTTTCTGTCGTATGCCCTCGCGCAGTTGTCGGGTGCGAATAGTATCACGACGTACTTGGTGCCGGTGCTGAGTTTGATTGGGGTTAAGGGGGGCACGACGCATAGTTTGTTGTATGCGGCGCTGTACTCGATGGCTAAGTTCTTTTACACGCTGATCGCCAGTTTCTTCTTTGTGGATGCCTTAGGGCGGAGAAACAGTCTGTTCATTGGTATCATCGTGCAGATGCTTTCCCACATCTACATTGGCGTGTACATCAAGTTCAGCCATGAGGGACCAGTTTCGCAAGGTGCTGGGCAAGGTGCTCTTGCGGCTATTTTCTTGCACGGCTTCGGCTACGCTGTTGGTAAGTGATGGGCTCTAAATTCTCGAGAGCATAATCACGCTAATACAACTTGCTCACCTCCAGGTCTCCTCATTCTGCCGTACATCTTCGTCAGCGAGCTGTGGCCGAACCAGCTCCGGTCCTTCGGCGCATCCCTTACGCAATGCTTCCATTGGCTCTTTTTCTTCGGAGTTAACAAGGGGGTTCCTTCTCTGCTTGAGAGCACCGACCAGTGGGGCGCATTTCTCTTCTTCGCCGGCTGGTGTTTCTTGGCGCTCCTCTACGTGTTCTTCACCGTGCCAGAGACGGCGGGCGTGGACCTCGAGAAGATTGACGAGCTGTTCCAGGGGCCGTGGTTCAATCAGTACAAGAGAACCAAGGCGATGGGACGGGATGTGGAAGTACTCGAATCTGTTGAATCGCGAAGCGAGAGCGAAGGCGTTGATGTGTTAGCATCCGGGAAGAAGTAGTCTAGCGGGAGTGTTGCCGCCAGGGAGTTGCACAGCTCTGGCAAAAACGTGAAAGCAGCCCGAGGCCGTGATATCAATTATCAATAGAAGGATATGACCAAGTCACCATCATGAATGGATCTCATCGTTCACATAATAACGGGATACAAATCGGTGTTTTGTCAGCTTTATTCTTTTCGAAGAGACATACGTCTATACTCTCGAGTGAGGGAGTATATCCAGAAACACCCTCTGGCTAGTATGCAGCAGTAATCTACTCATCCTCAAGCTTTCTTGGGCTCTTTCTTGGTCTTGTCTTATCGGTTACACAACTATCGGGGTCGCGTCCGCATCCTGGTGGACCTCGAGCCTCGCGGGTCAGAAGTTCCTTGCCCGTCTTGCGAGTCACGCCTTCCTTGGACATCGGCGGAGCACCCAAAACCACAGCCGGTGCCTGGGGTTACTGTCTTTAGCGCGTGTTGCTTTTATCTGGATGATGATGCTTACCATGCTTAGGCCTAGGTTAATGGCAAACCTAGACCCGAATGCTTCAGCAGCACTAAAGGTAACGAGGCCGAGCACAAGGATGGACGGCAACTTCATTGTGGTTTTTAGATCGAAGGGTTTCTGCGAGACTTGAGCTTGTTCAAGTGTTCGATTTTTGACTGTAATGTATGTACAGACTTTGTTAACCGTGGCATGTGTAAGCTCGTATTTGGGCCTCCGTGGGTGCTTTATACATCAGGTAGCTATGTGGCCATGATTCGTGATATGAAAGCAGAATCACCAACCTGTTCACACTTGAAACAGTTGCAGCAATTATTTGCTCTTTTTGCAACAGTAAGCAAGAAATTCCGCCTAGTCACGATCGTGGTTCACCGGAGCTTTTACTTACTGGTTTGCCTAAACTTTATCCTCAAACGCGGCTTAGGGGTTCGCACTCGCGTACGGCAGACCCATCGAGTGTTTTTCCGTAGGATACTAGAGTGATTCATATGCACTGCGCCCGTTTGTAGAGGGTCTCACAAACTCTATTACCACGACTGCGAGTCACACCCATCACATCTTAACCGCGTCCGGCGGCGGATAAAACATGAGACGAAACGAGCTTACAGCGAAAGCCCATCGTCCGCTGAAACAAAACCACTGTTATAAAGAGTAAGAAGTCATGTATTACAATATTCAACGCAAAACGGACCGAGGCCGTTGAAGTTGGACTGGGGCTGTGCTGTCCGTGTCAATTTGCTGTGGGATATCGAAGGATCGGCCTAGGGAGGGTAGTTTGGATGAACTCGGGAGCTGTAACCCTAACTGGGAAGGAAAACATCGAGCTTCAACCTACCGGACTACGCGATTCCCCAAAGATCTATCCTGACGCCGCTTATGAAGCACTGCAAACTTCCATAAATGGCCGGCTTGTTTCAAGAGTTTTTGCCCATTACATTGAGTAGTTTCCTGTAACCCATCCGGCACCTGCACCTGAGGGCGCACTATCCGCAACTTTCTATTACTCTACCCATCCTGAGAACCATACAGCGACTCAGCGAGAATGATAAGCCGCGAGAGTATCCCCGAAAAATGGGCTGCGGCCTGGTCTGACAACGATTCAGCCGCATTCGCAAAGTTGTTTGCCCCACAAGCCGTGTACACCGACCACGCGCACCAGCTCATCACGACCAAGCTGGAGGATCATCACAGGGTCTGGCGCAACGCCAACCCAAACTTTAAAGTCATTGTCGATCCGTCGACGCCGATCTGGTGGTCTAGAGACAACGCCGATAACGACGAGAAGCAAGCGAGCTGCAGTTTCAGAACCATCAACACCGGGACCTTTATGGAGTCGCTGCCAAGAAAGGTCGCTTCGGGCAAGAATTGGTCTTTCACTGCAATGGTGCATCTGGTTATTGAAGACGGGCTAATCACGCAACTCGATGAGTTTTATCGGGATAGCTTTGACGAGGGGATCCCTGTAGACAAATACATACGCCGTGTTTAATCCGATTGCCGGTGATGGTGACAGCATAGAGAGGCTTGACTGCACGTTATGAAGTTACACCATTTACTATATGGACGGAGCGAGGCTGGCTCCGAACCATGAAGTAGCAGAGACGCTATGCTGAGAGACAATATGCTTAATTTCCAATGCTTTCTGTGTGAAATTAACGTCTGCGTCGTTCAAACTTTCTTGCACTCCCCGGCTTTCTTCATCTCGGCATACCAGCTCACCTTCCCCACGGCAGAAGCTTATCCTCTCCTTTGGCGTCAGGATCAACCAAGTTGTGGTATACCTCTGGCCCTCGACCGCCGTTCAGAGCGTGTACCCTAAGGACGTCGAATCGCATTCGCATGAGGTCTCTGTCGGGGAGAAGAGCTCTGTTGTCAGCGAAGATGTCGACGATCCGCCCATTTTCGATCTCCGCGCCCTGACGACTGTCTGGGAATGACAAAAACCTCTTGAAAACTTGACTTAGAACGCGACGGGGAGTCGTGTCGTTTGTAGAAGGCTTGGCCAAAATTTCGTCGGGATGCAACGCAAGGTCAACCTTGCTCTCTGGCCCCAAAAGACTGGTACGTGGGAGCCAGTGGAAGCGGTATCTGGCCCCGTATACGGTACTTGGCGATGTCTCCCCACCGTCCTCGGTCATCTCATATACGACGAAGTCAATGATGTCGTCCAGTGGCTCTAGCGCAAAGAGACCTTGGTCCCACAACGAATTGAGCTCTTTGCTTAGACAAAGTATGTTACTTGGCCTAATGAGAGTGTTCTGAATTTTGTCCCTGGTGCGGTACAGCCTCTTCCAATCCCATACATGGTAGAGCTTTCCTAAGGCTCTGGGTAGCATTGGATTGGAACTCAAGGCATCGGGCGGGACAATATAGCAGGGCGAGGCGCCGGGCGTCTTTGTCACCACACAGGAGGGGCCGTCGCGGATGCGTACCTGATCGAAGGCGGTGATGGCTTGCCTGCTGTCTGCAGGCTGTGTCGTACTTTGGTCAATGACTATGCGCTGTTAGTAAATGACTGACTGAGAACCAGGAAAGACATACAGATTAGAGCAAGCCTTGCCGCTCGGCAGGCGTTCTCTGGGAGGTGCAGGAGCACACCCAAAAACGCCTCTGGATCCCGCAGGTCCTTTGCAATTTTCTCAAGCCTCCGTCGGTCGATAGTTCGAGTACACTCCAGCACTGTGCTTGCACTAGGGCGGCAGTCCTATCTTCGAAGCGAGTGATTGACTTAATGGATTTAAATATGCCATGAATCAGGGCAACTCGCTCCGAGGAGTCTTCGGCGGGGAGAAAGCTGCAGCTGGCATGCATTTTGTGTTGCTATTCACGATTAAAAAACGAGATTCGCGGATAAAAATTGAGATGGAGCTTTGCAACAATTCGAAAGTAGGCCTTTGAATCATACTGTGGAGATCGGAGATTTGTCGACCGTACAGGTGACTCCAGCTCCCAGGGTGAAGACTGTGAGGACACATACGACCATGAAAGGCTTATTATCGAGGGACTTTCTATTCATAAATTTACCTTATCTAACTTTGCGTTGTGTCCCAGTCGTTGAGGTGAGGCAAAACTTTCTCAATTTTGAAAACCGGTTGCGTTGATTCTCCAAACAAGGCAATCGACTGCAACCCTAAAGATTCGTGTTGGAATTTTCCCGCGAAAGGCAGGAGCCCGCCCAGGTTCCAAGTTCCAGCAGAATGATTCCGCCCCCAAGGCAACGTCGAAATTGTCGATCCAGTCAAAGTCTGGACTCCGAAAGGCCCTTGAGAGAAACTCAGATGTTCCACAAATATTCCTCCAGCTTCGCGTCTTCATCCACCTCCAGGAAGAACGCCAAAGCTGCCGTTCTGGGAAGATAAAGACCCCGAAGCGTTTCCTCCTTGTATTGATCGCCTGAAAATTGGACAATGAAACCGAGCAAGATATCAATCATGTTATGCCCCTTGATGATATGGTTGTCGAAGGTCATGTGATGCTCAATACCGCCTTCGTATTCATGTTCCTGTACAATCATACTGAGCTTCTCAAGTATCTCGACACAGACAGTAAAGATTCTGAACATATCGAGCCTTGCAATCGGCAGACGACCTCGGAATTCTGGCAGCACAAGTTCCTTGGACTTTTCGATGATGCTTGACACATCCGTCTTGACTGACATGTTTCTCATCTTTGACCGCACCGCTGAAGTCCTTGCTAGCTCAGGGCGCTCTCCGAAGACAATGGCCATGTATTCAGGGTGGAATCTGTAGTCGTTCTTAAATTGGTGTCGGAAGACGCTCTCCGGACGTTCCATTCGTTGTTTCCGCCATAATTTGTGTTGCGAGTGACGTATGGCAATGGGCATAGTGAGCGTAGTGAAAAACGTGTAGATGTCTATAGAAAAAGGAGGGTAGTAGGGATTACGAGGGTAGGGGTTATATATACCCCTACGAAGACCCCTACTACGTATATCTTTATAATATACCCCCCTAGGAGTAATATATATTACTTCTAAAAAGCCTTATAAAGTATATATATAGAAAATAAAGTAGAAATAAAGCTATTCCTACCCCCCTATAGATTATACTTAATATAGAAGAGCTATCCTAACTACTTATAAACTATATTTAATATAGGTAGTTTATTATACCTATCTTTTAGTTCTATAGAATATACTTAATATAAGTAATAAACTATATTTAATACTAGAGAGCTTTAAAATATATTAAAGTTAAAATCTTAGGTAATAATATTAATTAGTATATTAGTAGTAGTATTATTAAACTACTTATATTAATAAAGATCCTCTATAAAATCTTTCTACTCTTAAAGCTAAAGGTAGATCTTAATATCCTCTATATTATTAGAGGATACTTAGATATTTAGTTAATTAAAATACTTACTATAGAGTACCTTTTTAAGTTAATAATACTTAATAAAGTATTACTTATACTAATACCTATAAAGGTAAAAGTAGTAGTTATTATTATTATTAACTAAAGCTAGTTAAGAAAGAGGTTTAGAAGTAGCTTTAGTAGTTTATATAGTTAATTAAAGTTCTAGATATCTACTAAGTATAATATATACCTTATTTAAAATATAATCTAAGTTAATATTCTAAATATTTTAGATAATTATTATAAAGAGTTATTTATACTCTTTAAGTAATCTAATTAACTAATTACCTTTTTATATAATTAAAAGCTTAAATTAAGTATATTTTACTTAAATTAGAGCTAGATATATACTAACTATATTTAAGAAGGCTTATATACTAAATATACTTTAAATATTAGGAATATTATAAACTTTTACTACTAGAAATATATAATATTAGCTTTTATATTACTAAGAAGGATTAATATTACTATTTATATTATATAGTATATATAAGTAATCTTCTTAAATAAAGTTATAGACTATAAGGTTTATAAAGTAAAATTAAATTTAGAGGGCTTATATAAGAACTTAAGTTATCTTAGATAACTTATTTAAAGTATTTATAAGTTTAAGTTATATAATAGAGAGGATTATAAGGTTAATAGTATATTAGATCTATTACTATATATATTAGAAGCCTTTAGAGACTTTAGTATACTTAGTAGTAATAATCTTATAATTATAAATCTAACTAGAATATTCTTTATATATATTAGTAATAATAATAGGAAATAGAGGTATTAGTTCTAAGTTATTAAATATATTAGGAGTAGTAGTCTTAATATATTATATTTAATACTAAAATACTTATATATTATAATTAACTTTATATTATAGCTAAAAACTTATTTAATATATCTATATAACTTTATTAAATATTAGAGGCTATTAATATATTTAAGGAGGTATATTAGGAGTACTTAATATAGGATTAATATATTCCTAAACTTTATAATACTAAGTATACTATTATAGCTATAAGGCCTATATAAGCTAATCTTATAGTAATATAAGTATTATAGTTACTAGTAAGGTATTTAAAGTTATTATTATATATATTACTTATATAGTAAAAGGGATTATAAAAGTATTATTAAAGAACTAGACTTATAACTATTACGAGTAATATATAGTAATAGGTATAGTAAGCGTAGTGAAAAACGTATAGATATCTATAGAAAAAGGAGGGTAGTAGGGATTGTGAGGGCAGGGGTTATATATACCCCTGCGAAGACCCCTGCCACGCATGTCTTCGCAACAATTCGCAATGAAACTGGGATCCCACATCGTCGATATCATCTGGGACCCCCTTCTTGTTCCTCTTTGCACCCCACACAGCTCTCCGGTAGTGAGAAAGGTAGTTCTTCGTGGGCCGGCTACCGAGAAAGACCGGGTCCACGAGAAGATCGCAGAGATCTTCCATCAACGGAATCTTCTTCATACCGAACGCTGAATGGGCCAGAGCATTGTACATATGGAGAGTAGAGGGAACAAATGGCGTTATGAAGCAAAGCCCCTCGCCCGTGCTTCCAGCTTTGTAGAGCATCTCTGATATGTGACCTCCTGCAGTCCAAGGGGCCTGATGGTAGAAGTCGAACGCCTTCTCGCGGAGATATGTATCGAGCACGTCGTAGAGTTCTTGCTGGAATCCAATCCACGGTTTGAAGTAGCTCATATCTCGAGTCAGCTTTTTCAAGCTACCAATGGCCGAAACAATGCTCTTCTGCATGTCTTTTGCCAAACGAAGCGCCTGTAGACGACAGTTCTGTTTGTTGTGCTTGCCATCCGCCCAGAGAAACGTCTCGTAGCTGGTGAGAAAAATGTCCATGCAGAGGACCAGTTCCAGAGATGCGGGCACTTGGGGGTCGCGGATATCTGCCAGAGCCAAGGGTAGAATGCGCTCGGAAGGACATTCCATGGCCTCGTCCCAAATCTCTAAGTCTGCGATCCCCCGCCCTTCTTTCATGTCTCTCTTGATGTGCTTGAAGATCTCAATCACTGCCCAGTGTTCCGGTGCTTCAATGTCCCCATCAGGCTCTGGCATCTCGACTGGCGGTTTTCGCGGCGGAATGAGAAGCGTAGGGTCCTGTGGCATGAGCTCATGCAACATGCACATCTGTCCATTCCTCTCTTTGGAGAACTGTTCGTAGAACTCTGCCTTGCGAGGGTGGTTGTTGACGGCTTGCGAAATGATGCAAAATCGGACGGCGCCGGACATGCCACGTATTTTAAAACGTGCTTCCAGGTTCGGGTGGTCGGTAAAGAATTTGTGTGCGCGTCTGCAGTGGTTCTCGAGGTCACGGCTCGTGCCATGGAATCTCTTGAATAATACCTGAAGTTGCCGAAAGGTCAGGTTTGTGAGCCAGGACGCCAGTGGAAGCGGCAGTATTCCCTTGGCAGCATCGGCCCAGTACTGCTTCATATCAGATTTGACACCTTCTAAATACTGCCGGCGAAATTAGTAAAGTCCGGTCGAAACCGGAGTCAGGAGTGGTGACTCACATCAAGCAAGGCAATTATTTCCATAAAATCACTTAGTTCATCGTCCTCAAGCAGAACCTCGAACGGCGCTGTGTCGGACGTTGGACCACAACTGGGGCCTAGATCATTCTGAGGTGGCAGGGAGGTAGATGCTGGAACTCTGTAAGGGTGATCGAGGCCTCTATCAAGTTCACCGGCGAGGGTGGCAAGGGAAGCAAACGCGTTGGCAGTGGAGGCTTTATCGGCGTTGGTCGCCACAGCAGCCGGGGCAAGGGATCTGGCCATGAAAGGAGTTAGGATTGACAAGGTCTGCTCAAGCCTATTGCTACAGTCAGCGTGATGAAGTTAAGTAAACTGTGAAACGAGAGAATCTGGCCTTTGGATGAACACTCCGTGATTGATATCATCGGCACCCAGCTCCTCGTAAACGGCAACAGCTTCCCGACGCTTTGAAATCGCGTTGCGAAGCGAACTGATGATAGATGCTGGGACACTGTGCTTAGTCTTCTTGAAAGCCTGCGACAGAGCCTTCGCAGCCGTTAGGATGCCTTTTGTGGTCCTTGGAACGCTGGCTGGCTTCGGTTGAATACTTTGATGCTGGGACCAGAGCCATTGCAAGAAGTAGTCGGTAGAGACCTTGTACGATCGGTAGATCTCCGCGAAGGAGTCATCCTCGTCGCAAGCCATCGCGAACGCTTTCTAGTGGCGAACTGGCGATGGGGAAAGGGGATGGACGGGAACCGTATCCAAGCGATAAGAAAATGATGGAATGCAAAAGCGATGGCGGTGATGATGGCGCATCACCAGGCGAAGTCGCTGTGGTTGTTTGGAAAGAAGCGGTTTATGTGGAGAAAAGTCGAGTACCCTTGGACTTGGAAGCGAGTTTGACGAAGGTGAAAATTTGGTGCACAAAGGCGGTTGAGGTCGAAAAGAAAGAGAAAAGAGTGGGTGGTGGCTTCCCAAATGGGATCCAAGATCTGAACCGCAGTCCGGCAAGATTAAATTCTCGGCTTGGAGAGAATGAGACAGAAGGTGCCAAACAGGCTTCTTGTTAGGCAGCAGGCTTTCACAATCCCTTACTACGTCTTTCTCCACGTCGGACTCAGTGAAACAATACCATGCGTGTTTGCTACAATGACAATGCTGGCAATACGCGTGGACGTTTGTCTTAAGTGGAGGAGAGCTCTTTCAACAGTACTCATGATATTCAATTCTATTGTATTGATAAAAACTTGTTTTCTTAATCTACCACACAGGGCCCTTCTCTCCTGACCTGCTCTTCTCCCAAAACTTCAAGGTGCATGCATGTGCTCACCTGTCTATCTCTGGGAACACTCATCCAAGGGTCCTCATTATACGCGAAGCATCCCATGATCAGATATTCCAAAGATACTGCTGCTTCAGGCTTGTACTCTTGTCGACTGAATTGAATGCCTCGGCGGCGGCTTGCAGAAGCTCGATACCACGCAGGCTATGGCCTCGTTTGAGCTTTCCGGGGGCCTTAACAATGGTTTCGAGCACCAATTCGACCAATTGCACCCCTCTGTGCAATGGGTCAAGCGCATTCTTGACTCGGCGGTTTGTGTTTGGGCCATTGAATCCACTCAGATTATTGAGAACCCCGGCGCAGAGCGTGAAGATGGCAAATTGGTTGATCCGTGCAACAGGGATAGGGCCGTCGAACTCCGAGAAAAGCGCGTTTTTAGCCTTCGCAATGATGCTCCGGATGTTTTCTTCCTTTGCAGACCGCATCTTCTCCTTTAGCGCGTAGTTTGGATTGGTGCTGAATGGCAGGTCGAAGATCTTGCAAAGCACGCGCGGGGACATGGAATGCTTGTGAATGTGAAAATCCAAGGTCGCCGAATGGAAAAACTTGGTTCGAAAGCTATCTTTGCCTCCTTTCCGGATCTGCAGACTCCCGTTAGAGATCTTAGTCTCAAAGGTAGCCTGGCAGTAGTGAGAATGGAAATTGCGGTCCGGAATGGTGCCGAGAAACATGGATTCTCGGAAAACTTCGCACATCTGCTCCATAATTGGGATCTCGGGGATGTTGAAATCGGATCTGCGAAGGGCATTGTACATGTGCAATACCGAGGGGACGATGCTCCATCCGCAGGTGACGATATTGCCGGCCATATGAGCGCGTGCCAGCATCTCGGCCATGTGGTGTCCAGCGGTCCAAGGCGCCTCGTGATACATATCCGAGTGGATTTGGCGTTGGTAAGCGCCCAGGTCTTGATGCAAATGTTGCAGAGCTTGCAGAATCAGCCCAAAGCCACCGGTGTGGTCCTTCTCGCATACAAGCTTGACGGCGCTGATGACGGGAACGATGCTGTTCTGCATTTCCTTTGATAGCTGGGTGGCCATTTGGTGACAGCTTTGAATATTGAGCTTGTCGTCGGCCCAGAGGAATCCTTCGTGCGTGGACAGAAGAATGTCGACCCCAAAAACCACGCCGGATTGGAGAGGTGCATCTTGAGCATGCAGGCCGAGAAGGAAATCCTCGACCGCCAGATGAAGCGGAGTGCTCGTGTCGAGGCGGTACAAGGCGCCGGGCTCGGTGTCTCTTGGCTTGGGCATCGCAGATCTTTCGGCAATGATGTTGTCAATGGTCGACATGATTACAACGACAGAGTCTTCTTCAAGTTCTTTCCTCTTGCCATCTCCACACGCACCAACCGAGATCCTGGCGTCAGGGGTCCGATACGGGAGAAGCTGCACCGTATCAGTGGTACGGTAGATACCATGGTCATGTTCCACGGCTTTGGTCTCTTGATAGACGTCGAAATTGTGAATCATTTGACCAAGGGTGGCGAATCGGACCGGTCCCGAAACATTTCCATCTCGGCCAGCGAGGCTGGCGGCGAAGCTCGGGAAGAGGGCGTGGAGTTGGTAAGCATGTCCCCAGAAGTCAGAGAACTGGTGGCTGTCCCGGGCGATGATCGGCGCGACGCATCTCATGAGGTATTTCAAGGCAAAGCTGGTCAATGTCGCGAACACAGGCAGAGGTAGGGTACCTCTGGCGGCATCGGTCGCATATTGTCGTAATTGAGCTTGCAAAGCATCATATTCCTGCGGATGTATGCGTCAGTAGGAAGAACGGAGAAGAATGAGAAGAAGGATTGTGTACATATATGAATAAAATGATCTTGGCAAGCACTTCCAGCTGGTCGTCTTGGAGCGAAATTTCTGGCGTCTTGTCGTCGTTGGGAGCGATCTGAGGTGCTCTTTGCTGGGGCAAGGCGTGGTTTGTCTCTGGCGGCGCATGGTCCGTTGAAAGATGGGATTCATTGTCTGATTCATCGGCCAAAAGCTCAAGCAGGGAGAATGGATTCTTTGCCACAAAGGTGTGCTGCGGGAAAGGCTCAAAATAAGAAGTCGCGGAAGCAGCTTCTAGGGGCATCAGAAGTGAAAGAAGTTCTTCAAGTCTACTGTGAAGTCAGAAACCATCTAATGAAAGGAAGACAAGATTGAGCAAGCAGCAGACCTTTTGACAAAGATATCATGTTCATAGTGGCCTGCGCCAAGTGCTCGGTAGACGATGGCGACTTTTCGGCGCTTGGTGATGGCCTCGCGCAATGAGGAGATAATCGAGGTAGGGACACCAATTTCTTTCTTCTGCAATACCCTGGCCGCATCCAGGAAAGCCTTTGTGGAAGTCAGTGAAGCGGTGCTCTTGGGAAGCAAGAGCTGATGCTGGCACTGGAGCCAGTGCAGAACGTATCTCGTAGCGAGCTTGTATTCTCCGTAGGCCTTAGCCACAACGCCATCGTCCTCAGATGGCATCTTGACCGTCGAAGGCGAGTGTATTGTAGGTCTGAAGGCTCAGTCGATGAAGCAAGGCAAGACGATTGCTGAGTTGGGAGGCGTATTCCAAGACTGGATTAAAGACCGTGGACTGGAAACTTGTCTGTAGTGAAATTGGAATTTTGTTGTTCCAGAGGGGTTGGTGAGAATTTTGAGGGAGGTGAAGATTTGAGCCCAGTGTTGCGCAGGGACGGAGAGACAGGGAAAGAAGGAAGTAGGCAGGAAGTTGTTGTTTCCCGAAAGAGACTTCAAATTACGATTTCGCTTCGAAGAACTTCACAGTCAACCAAGGACTGCAGGTGGCCTTCAAGGGGAACGACACCCAGCTAGGTAGGTATCCACACAAAATCTCACCTTAACCAAAGACTAAAATTCAAAATCATCATTCATCTGATTAAAGCATTTGTGTGCTGGCCAGCACATGCATTGACCTGAACAGGAGCCTATTACTCGGAATCAAGAAGCAAAGCGGCCCTCGGGCTTTTGAAATCCTGACATCTGTTTCCTTGAAGACTACGATGCAGCATGCTGCGATGCTACCTGATCATGTCGTCCAAATATCCGTCATTGACCTCAATCCGTCGACACCACATCATTCCATCTCAAAATCCGCGCCAGCTGCATCACAACTTCCACTTCATGCTGTCCAAAGACATCTCCTTGTCGATCTTGCTGAACGCTGCTACCTCATGAACCGCTCTGGGCGTCCGGTGCACACTGTTCAGCTCTTTCTGATCAGTCATTCTGACGAGGCTGCCAATCGCAGCGTCGACAAAATGGCGAGCGAGCTCAAGGTCACTCTCCCAGTTCATCTCCGCAAGCTCTGGCAGGAGCACGAACATTTCGCGCTTGGCGGACTCGGCAAAGGTCGACATGATGTCTGCACAGAACCTGAACAGGGAGAAGTAGTCGACTGCCATAACAGCCCGTGGACCCTCGAAATCCTTCAGGACAGCCTCCTTGGCAAGCTGAATGTGCTCGATGTCGTCGATTTCATAGTACATGTCGCTTAGCTCTGTCATCAATGCTGCGGGAGTGGGTACGTTGGAAGGGGGCGGGACGCCGTACAACGGTCCAATGAACTCGACGTGGGGAGTGTGGTTGTTGCCATGCTGCCATTTGAAGCCCGAGTTGACCCAAAGTGTGCGGGGCTTCTTGCTATGGTCAATGCTGAGACCAGAGTTTCCGTAGTGCGGCCAGTTGCTGGTTTTGGCGCGCTTGGCGTTGTAGATGCAGTAACGATACCATGTGAGAAAGTTGTTCGTAGGCAACTTTCCGAGGAAGACGCTGTCAAGGAACATCTCGCAGAGCTCATCCATGATGCGAATGCGAGGAAAGTTGACTGGGGACTGGCGAAGGGCGTTGTAGAGGTGAAGCGTGCTTGGAATGACTGTCTGATGCTGAAGAAGGAGGTTTCCCAGATACTGAGCCTGGTAGAGCATCTCTGTCATATGGCATCCAGCCGTCCACGGAGCTGAGTGGTAGTCGTCAAAGACTCGCTCGCGAATGTAGGTGTCGATCCCGTTCGTGAAGTAAGAGACCATCTCAAACCACTGCCTCTCCCCACTGAGACAGATCGGCAACTTCTGGAAGATGTCAGCGACCTTCTTGGCGCTTGCCTTCATATCTATGGCCAAGCGCAGGGCCCGCAGACGACAGTTATCCTTGTTGCGCTCCGTTCCGTTTGGCCAGAAGAAAGCTCCGGATGCGGACAAGAAAAGATCTAATCCCAGGACGAGTGTGCCGGGTGCCGTAGTTGCTTCTCCTTTGGTGAACTCAGAGGCGGCTTGGTAGAATGGTTCGCACGATCCGTTACGAGGCTCCACGAAGAACATGATATCCTCGACGGCGTTGATTGCGCGTTTACTTCCCCTAGCTCTTTGCATATCTTGAAACAACTGGGAAACGACGTTGGAAACTGTGTCGGCGTCACCCTGTACCTTGCCAGGCTTGAAAGTCGAGTCGGCGGCTTCGTTGGTGGCCTCATTACAATGTCTGAGCGCGTTCAGCGCCTTCTCATATTCGAAAAGGAACGCGCATTCCTTCCACCAAGGCTTGTCGGTCTTTTGTTCCTCTGGGACGAGACCAAAAATCTCTGTCGAGACCCCAAACCGAACTACGAATCCTGCCGTCTTTCCCAGCTCCAACTTTGAAGGGATGGTGATCTCGATCTTTCGCATAGCCTCGCTTGTGAGCCAAGCGGCCACAGGGAGGGGAAGCCTTCCCTCAGCTACTTCTTTCCAGTACTCATCAAGTGTCCATCTCATAGCAACGTATTCCTTACAATGGTCAGTAACAGAAGAGACCATGTTGAACACCAACCGTACCTTCAGATACTCGAGGTCCTCGAACCGTACGCCGAGAAACTTTTGCAGAAAGTCGTCATCCACAAGGAACTCGCTGCGGGACTCAGGGGCTGTTGCTTTGGGAACACTCTCTTCGAGTGCCGCCGACGCCATCTTCTCGCAGATATTGGAGATGGGAGCATTCGTCTCGGCATCCATCACAGGGTTGGACAGAGACGCGTATCGGTTCAGTGACGAAGGAACATTTTGTTGGACTCTGGGATCGTCAAACACGGCGGCTTCAGCCTCCAGAGTGGTTAAGGTTTCTAAAGCGGTTTCGAGTCTGGGTCTGGATCAGAAAGCGAAATATATGTAGGGCATTTTGTGGACTCACTTCTCGAGGAATGCTTCGTGCTCAATGTCATCAGCTTGCTTTTGCTGGTGAATCGCGAGCGCGATGCGTCGCTTATCGATGGCGTTTTCCAGAGCATCAATGACCGAAAGAGGGACAGCAACTTCGGCCTTGGCGATAGCCTTCACCGCGTTGAGAATCTCTGCGCATGACGTGAAGGAAATCCCGGTTGTTCGACCGGGATCAACGATGCGACACTGACACCAGAGCCACTCGAGGAAGTAGTCGGTCTCTCTCTTGTACGCCCGGACGGCTCGCGACAAGGAGCTGTGCAGGTGCTGAGGGGGAGACATCGTCGGCGCAGTCGATGCGATCTCTCATGAAATGGAGGGGAAGAGGGAGGTGACAGACGAGAGGTAGAAGATGAGGAAAAGAAAAGGTGAGCGATGAGCTGGGTGGAAGAAAACTTTCGTCCAGGTGAAGTGGGCGAATCGAAGCTCTAGCTTCCAACTCACCTCAAGGCAAGAGCGTTTGAAGGCAGGCAAGCACGGCCGTGGCTACCTTGAGCGGGAAGCGACTCGACGCGTCTTCAATTTCGGGAAAGTACTCTGGGGTTCCACTTGATGTTTCCAATTTGCATCTTTTTCGTTTGCAAAACCACTGCAAATGTGCCAACCAGAGGTGATGATGCCCATCCCGGGATGGAAGTAGACAAATGCATCGTTCGGGCACCTGCAGATGCAGGTATGCATACAACCGCAATGTGTCGGTCATGCAGCCTGGCTCAGAAAACAACCGCGGAATGACACAAACCTTTTGCCAGTGAGGTCATGGCAGTCTTGTTGTAGCTCAAAGCAGTTGGTCACTGGAAGGATGCTCCCGCCTTTGTCTGCATTTGGATAATGCTCACAAGAAACAGTTGCACCCCAGGTAAAAGAGGGCTGTTCGATCGTCTCCAAATAGATTAAGACCACGTCTTGGTCCTTCGACTTTCCTCGAAATATAGCGAGTGATGATTGGGACAAAACTAGATGTTCAGTACAATCAGCTGAACTTCTTTACACTCACCTGCTTCTTTAAGTCTCTTAGGTTTTCTCTTACGGCGCTTAAATCACACAAGAGTAGCATTTAGAAAGGGATTTTATCAGTAATATGATGAAGGATTGGTATTGATTTATAAAACTTAGTATTTAAACCCCTTTTCTCCAAATGCCTCCCCATGAGAAGTGAAAACTGGTATTTGCCTGTCGAGGCTGCTGGTATTGCGACTTTCCCCATAAAGTCAAGATCCTGCCCATTGTTCCCGTGCCGGTTGACGCCACCTTTAAACTCCGTCCATTGAATCCAAACTCCTGACTTGGTGTCGATGATGGTTACGTTCTACCATCCACCCTTGCATCCACCGTTCTGCTTCCTGCGAATCTCCTCGTCGAGATTGTCCTTGATCGACTGGCGGCGGCGGATCTCATCGTCGAGGCGATCCTTCAACTGCTGCCTGTTGCGGATCTCGCTGTCCAGGCGGCTCTTGTCACCGTAGTCGCAATCGCCATTGCCTGAGCGGCTGCCAGCAATGTTACCGCTAGTGCCGGCACCACCGCCGAAGCCGCCGCCAAAGCCACCACCGACGTTGCCGCCGAAGGTTGCCTCGCCCCTGGTCTCGATCACGGGGACGACATCAACATCGAGGTCTTCAACGGTGCGTTCCTTGAGGGGAGTCGCGATGACAGTGGAGAGGAGGGCGGTGAGGAATATGGCCTTGAAGGAGTACATTTTGATTGGTGGGTTGGTGACCTCTGGTTGATGGATCGTGAGAATGTGAGGTGGTTGATTGAGATCGTGAGATCTTCAAGGAAGTTGAAGGATGTTGAAGATGTGGATGTTTGAGACTGAGAAGCTTGAGACTGCTGATCTGAAGAAAGAGAGTCTGGTTGAAAAGGAATCTCTCGTCCCCTTTAATAGATCTCAACCTCAAGTCGACCTCAAGTCCAGACCATCCGCCAAGACCTCACCATCGCAACCTCCGCGAAATAGTCTTTCGATTTCGCAAAACATCGTTGGCCGCCATCATGCACAGCCAACCAAGCAACCAAGACGCCGACAGACTCGGCCGCGTCCCCTTCGCAGTCGGCAGCGGCAAACCGCACCACTAGCTCCCCGCGCCCTACGACTATCAGACCAAAATTTTGCGATAGCGACAACGAAAGTTTCCATGTCCGCCTTGCGCTCTGCCCAAAATCTCGCCCGTCAGGCGTCGTCGGGACACTCGGCCGTGTGTGTCTCCTTCTTTCCTGTCCAGCACGCTCGGACACTTTTCTTGTCGTTCATACAAACGTCCGCCCGTCTGCCATTCACAAGTTCGGATGAGGCCGTTTTCGCAGGCTCCCATGTCTTCTGTCTTTCTCGCCCACCAGCGGAGGTCCGCGGGAGGGGTTAAGCTTTTTGGGGGTCGTCCTGATTGAGGTAAGTAGGGTGACGACTACCCACCAAGCCGGCAAACATTAAAGGAGAGGAGGACAGCCTACGACTCAGGCACTATGCCGGCAGACAACCGTGCATGACTCCCGCCGACGCGTGGGAAACGAAACTTGGCTTGGACTTGGCAGATAAGACACGTACACACGGGCGGCTATGTTGGGGGGACAGAGAAAACGAGGCGGAAACTTCGGGCTCATGAGGAACTCCTCCGTCCCTTTCCCCTCCCCCCTATTCCATGACACACATGTTTACCTCTTGCTTTCAGGGCGCACAGGCATACGCGGCAGACAATTCTAGAAACGCACGCTAGACTCCCCGTGGGCGATGTTCCCGATATTCTAAGCATAGCCACCAAGTTTACTTTTGGTTAAGGGCCAACGACTTTTACAGAGCTTGCATCCGGGTCAAGGTGGAACCGGCATCCCACCCGCAGCTTGCGTGCAGTCGGCAATCGTAACTTTCCCGGTAGGGCAAGGAAGAAAACGAACCCGAGAGGTTGCGGCATACCGGCGATCCCGACGGCATGGTAGGCTGCGCGGGAAGCCGTCGATCATCGTGTTGGTGCGCGGTCCGCCTGGAGGGTCCCCCTCTCAATCCCACCCTGCAGCCCACATCGCCGACTACCCTAATTGAACCCCAGGTTTCGGCGTTGAGCTGGGCTTTTTTCGGGTATCGACGATGCGGCGTATGTTTTTTCTGCCCCGGTTTCGTTCACCTTAAGCTTGTTTTTCTATGGGAACATGATCGGCGGAGGCTCGATCGTGAGCTGGCGGTTTCACCCCCGCCACCGTCAACTTCCGTTGAAAGTCCATCATCGTGAAATCGGCTGCTTGACACATCGCCGACAGACAGATTGCCTTCACGTGGATGATTGACCTGCAGCTCTCCAAAGGGGGTGTCCAGCTGCCATCGTCCCCTCAAGCTTCTGCCAGTTATGCACATTATGCTTCATCCGCAAGCAAAGTTCTCACTTCCACGTACGCCTCCATGATTTGACGAACCAGCCCCTCCCGGCTCTTTCCATGTCATCAGATTAAGCTCATCCAATATCCTTGCCGCAATCTATTTATCTTCCTTAGTGTACAGCCTAGCCGGTCCACAAAGCGGGCGGCCTTGGGGACGGACAGAACTTCCCGTTAGCTGCTCCCACCGCCTCCGCCTCCGCCCCGGCCACACTTTGCCCAGCGCGCGGCTGGAACCACTTTGACTTTGTGAAGGGACCGTCCCAGGGTCCGGGTCTTGGTGCAGACCACGTCAGGCCAAAGCTTCCGATGCGGCGGTCCAGCGAATTAAGCTCTTGCCGGATCGATCAGGCTGCGGCGAGAGACTGTGAAGATCGTGATCCCTGGATTGGGAATGGCGTGGTGTTGCTTTGATTGCTTTCTTTGCTGTTGTTGGCGTCAAAGGCTGTTTCTTTTAGCTGAACTGTTTTCTTGTGGGATCGCCCCGTTGGGACAGAGCCTTTGTTTTCAAGCTTCATTGATCCTCCGCTGAATTTCTCAAAAGTCGCCGCATCTCCGCGTCTCCGCGTCTCGGCCGGTCCTTGGTGGCGATGATGGTAGTCTTGAATTGGACCGGAGCAAAGTTTGAAGCAAGCCACTCAAACTCCGAATGATACTTAAGTCCATCAGCTTGAATATGGTTGAATCATGTAGGAAAGCTCCGGCTTCCTTCACGATTCACCTGCCCTTTTCGGATGATGGGCATCACAGATAGCAAATGGAAGCCTCGTAAGCAGCAGTCGTTGAAGTTCGCTCAAGGGCTACCGAAGACCTTTCTCCCGGACTTGGTGATTCTTTCGACGTAACTTTGCATTATTTACCACCGTAGTGGCAGATCCAGTGTATTCCAAGTCATGAGACACAACACAAAGCTCTAGGTGCCACACTCTGGTAATCGCATAGTCTCCTTATTGCTGTCTCGTATATTGCCTGCTTGCCATGCCAATCTCTGTTCAATTGCTTCAGACGCCTTAGAATGCCATCTGATGCTACATTGCCAAACCCACGTAAGCCCGTGACCAACCCGAAGAGGCAATGTGCCTCCTTGTAAGTTAGGCTGGTCTAGAGCAACATTCCGTACATCGCAATGATCCAGGCGCTTCAGAGCCGGCCACACAAATCTGCAAACAGACAGACTCTCCCGTTGCTGCCTTTTTGAAACGTTGTCACAGCTTGCTGCCTGTGGGCACACCGTTGATATTACCGCACGACTCTAGAAGGAGATGTAGGGGCGCATAAATCAGGTCTGCATCTGCACTTCTGTTTGTGATCCCAGGGATAATAACTGCAGGGCTCGGGCTGGTTGACCTCAGCCTCTTATGCAGCGTTCGTCCCGTTGGCGGGCGCGGTCTGGTTCGCCGGCTTCTCGAGAACTTTCGGGACACACTTGAAATCGAAACAGGACTCCCGTAGCCCACACTACATCATCCGCAGTCAGCCACAACAGCGTTCCTGAATCTCATCCAAACATCCGTCGTGATTGCCCCCCGCAGAGGCCAGAAAGGCTGACGATTGAACACATACCACGTTGTTGCATTTGCCGCAATTCCGGTCATCCTGACGAAGATCGACACACCTACGCCTCGTGGTAGGCAAAACCCTCGCGTATGTGACGATCCACGGTTTGACTTCGCACAGCTCCATCCCTATCGCTGAAGTACTGCATACACACGACTCCACATCCACGGACATCTTCTCGTGCTTCAAGTTTCTACAAAATTGGACGATAGTTGCAGGTGGTTTCGGTGGTATCGGGGCATTCCCATTCACTGGGTTTCGCGGCGTTAGCACCTCCTCATCAAGTCCAGCCAAGGTGATGGTTTGAGGGGAGAGGTTTACCCGGCTGACTGGCGACCCCTACCGCGGCGCAGAGATAT